CCCAGGCCCTGAAGTAACAATAGTTACTGAAAAATGTCAAAAGGAGTAGAATATTTTTTGATTTGAAGTATAATTTTACATTTTCTTGGTTACTGATGGGTTTGTGTATTAAACAAGATTCTCCCTTGGGAATTGTGTAGGATAAAGTCCTGTTGTCCCCTGTCAGTATCTTGTTTATTTAACTGTGTGAATCCAATTCTCTTAATCCTAAATCATCTTTTAGTGTCCATGTTCAATTAAACTGTAACATGTTGACTACTACTAGACATATGATAGTTTCACTTTGCTGTTGCATTAGCTACTTAAAAAATTTCATGACCCAAGTTATTGGTAGTATTAAAGAATATAACTTAAAAAGCTAGTAAGTACACAAAATTCTGCAAATACTGATTTGTTCTTCTCATGATATAAAATAACATTTTTTGTTCTTTATACCTTACATTTTAGAACAAATTAAAAAATTGAATTCTGAGAGTATAAAAGGGCAGAGAAGCAAATCAGATTGTAATTGACATGTACTCTCAAGTAATAGCTACGAAAGGGTATGTCATTTATATGTTTGAATTTTAAAAAATTATTTTGGTATGCATGTTCAGCTTATTTTTAACATGAATGTGCTTTTTGACATTTAAATCTAATGTCTAATATCTCACAATTAACAAAAGCACAGTATAGAGAGTAGAAAATGCAGTCTATGTGTTCAGTAGTTTCAGAACTTGTTCAGTGGGAAAATCACTTTAAAGGTTTGGCTTTAATTTCATGAGAAAGGCATCTATATTGAAGTAGTATGCAGCTGAGGTCCTCTAGTGTTACAGCTGCATATGGCACCAGTTTTTTGTGAATTGTGTGAGAAACAGACAAGAACAAGAGAAGCTACTCTAAAATTGACTTGTAGAGCCAAATGAGTTCATAAAACTAGGTTTACATTTTGCTAATCTCAGGGAATGTTTCTCTTTGTTTTTAAGGGGGAAGATTTTGTTTTCTTTCATATGCACATATTTATCAATGTAATTGTGCTTTTACATAAAATCCTTGCCTCTGTAACTCTTGATAAGTTACAAATAATTTTTTTTAAGTTTGGGATATTGCCATTTATACAGTTAATTTCTTGAAGATGTTTATGAAAACTCTGTTTATCCTGAATTATGCTTGTTTCACACATTCCCTGTTTGTTTAAGACTCAGTGATATGGCACTTTAATATGGGATAAATTATTTGATAAAAAGGAATAGTTTACAGTCAATTTAAATAGCATTCTTTATAAATAGTAACCCAATAACCCTCATTGCTTCTTTTTTACACACATTATGGGTAATATCAGCTTACTCCTTTACTTCAAAATATGACTGACAACCAGGGACTGGATTACCAGGTGTTTGAGGCAAAAAAAAAAAAAAAAAAAAAAAAAGTTCAAGAAAAACAGAGCCTGGGGATGGGGTGGAGAGGGGGTACTCACCACAGAGGAAATGAAGATAACACTCTTTTTTCCAGAATTAAAAGAGATCTAATTCTTCTCAGAGAGACTCAAAGGAATGATATATCCATAACCAAAGAACAGTATCTATCGACAAGGAGCAGCTAGGGGACATAATAGAAATCCTGGAAATTAATGGTTTAGATTTCTCTCTCTCTCTCTGTCTCTCTCTCTCTCTCTTTGGATCTCTCTCTACTGGAATTAAGTTATATAATAGATAGGACTAAGACTATGCTCTTAAAACAGAAAGTTAATACAACAGGATGACTGTAGTCAATAATAATTGTACATCTTAAAATAACTGAAAGTACAATTGAATTTTTTATAACCCAAAGGATAAATACTTGAGGGGAGGGACACCCCATTTTACATGCTGTGATTATTACTCATTTCATGCCTGTATCCAAACTCATGTACCTCATAAATATACATACTTACTATGTACTCAAAAAATTAAATTAAAAAAAAAATAGTTCCAGTTATCATCTGCCTACTAAGAGTTCCAACTTAGAGAAAAAAAAAGTAAATAGTGAAAGATGTAACAAATCGAATTTTCCTTGTTAATGTTTCTGTGTTAATGGAACATGTGAGTCTGTAAATTAAAAGGGCATGCTTAATGCTGACTGGCACAAACATACCCACATTAGACATATTGGGCTGAAATTTTATAACTCTAGGGATAAAGTAAAAATAATCCTCAATACTTCCCAGGAAAGAGTAACAGAATGTCTACAACAAAGTTGGAATCAGACTGATAGTAGCCTTCTCGCCGTTAATAAAGAATGCTGTAAGACAATGGAGTAATTCTTTCCAAGTTTAAAGGCAAGAATAAGATATTTTCAGATGCGCTGTGCATGAAAATATCCTACTCATGCTCCCTGTATGAAACAATTTCTCAAGATGTCTTATAGTTAAACAAAAAAGAAATTTAAAAATAGTATGATATATAAAAATTATAGTAGCTGATGATAATGTTCATAAAAAGAGTTATAAAATTATGGTATCTATTAAATCTTGATGACTGAGACATTTTCTCTTGACAACTAGGGTTTAAGTGGCCTAGGTTTGTATTTCCTTCTGTGCTTAGTTCTACAGTAAATATTTATTAATCATTATTATCATGTGGCAATGTGCCAGTCACTTCCCATGTTTCTCAGAGTAAAAGCCCAAAGGTCTTACAGTGGCCTAAAGGGCCTTTCGTCATCTGAGTCATCTGACTCGTAGCTACCTCTCTGAGCTTATCTCCTGTCACTTTATTCTTTGCTCATTCTACTGCATGCACTGAATACACTTTTGTGAGCTGCTGACTTTATACCAGTTCAGGAGTTGCTTGCTGTGACCTCTGCCTGAATCATACATTTTCTAGAGACCTACCTGTCTTTTTCACTTCTTTTAGATTTCTATGTAAGTGTCACCTTCTCAGTGAGGCCTTCCCTGAACACATTATCTGTCTTCCCTACTTTATTTTTTTCTTCATTTAATCACTACACATCACGTTATCTATTTACTTATTTGTTTCACCTTCCAGCAAGGAGTGTAGGTTTCCTTTATCCCACTTATAATTTGATAGTCTAAAAACAATATAACGAATGCAGATAAGGAATTGGGGAAGAAAAATGGAGAAGTTGTGAAATATGTCAACTGTATCCTCTTGCAGAGTGAAGAGTTACTTATATTAAGTAAAAGTCTTACCACCAGAAGAATCGAAAACTAACTGCTGATGATTATTTGATAATGTAAAATAAAATTTGATAATGTAAAACAATGTAACTAATAAAAAGGAGTTGAGGAAGAAAATAGAAAAGTTGTGAAAATACGTCAATTATATCCTCTTGCATAGTGAAGAGTTAGTAAGTAAGTAAAAATCTAATCACCAGAAGGATTGAAAACAAAAACTGCTGATTCCCTCTGGAAAGTCAAACTAGGATCATAGAGGCAAATTTTAGCTTTGGTCTCTGGTTATTTCTTTTGGTTTTAATTTAGGAGAGAGAATCAGGTTGCAACAATTATTTTTGTAAAAATTTTATTCAATTTAGTATTTTTTAAAGTCAGGTTTATTAAGGTATAATACCTTAATGTTTACCCTGTTTAGTGTAAACTTTAATGAGTTTGATAAACAAAGTTATGTAACCGTCATCAAAATCAAGGATAGAACAGTTCCCTCATGCCACAAAATTTTCTCATACTCTTTTGTAGTCCACCTGCCCCCCACCCAAGCCCATGGCAATCTGTTAGTCCATTTTTTAACTTTTAACCTATGTCTTTTATTTAGTGTAGGTTTCTCATAGACTGAATATAGCTGAGTTTAAATTCTTATCAAATCTGACAATCCTTATGACTTAATTGGTGAGTTGAGACCATTTGTACTTAATATAACTATTGCTATATCTGGATTAAAATCTGTTAGTCATTTTCTATTTGTTCTGTTCTTTTTTCCTTTTATTCTGCCTGTTTGTGGATTGAATATTTTTTATGATTCCGTTTTAGCTCTACTATTGGTTTTAAAAATTATGTTTAGTGGCTATCTGCAAACACGAATTTAATTTTAGAAAAATTTAAAAAATGGATAGAAAGGAAAATCTATACCAAAATGTTAATATTGTAGGTATGAGGAAATTTTCCATATGAACAATTTTTGATTAAAACATTAGAGGATAATTAATAAAGCTAGGTTAATTTCTATGTGAGTATTACATTTGTCATACTCTTTTCTGAGATTTGAACTTTTCAAAAAGAAAAGAAATGTTGACAGGAAAAAGTTTTAATGCAGACACCAATGTCTGCAAATGAACAATCCATACTTTATAAAGATGTAATGATAAAAATTAAAACGTGTTCCAAATACGACTGCCAAGTAGCAGTATTTAACCAAATACAGTGCCTGTTTCCTGGTAATTTACATGAATAGACTTGCAAATTGGAAAAAACATTAGGGAGATGGATGGTGAGAGAGGGGGGGAAAAACTGGAGGATGTATGTGTGAAGGATGATCTGTACATAATAGGATAAGAATTAAAGAGAAATGTTTGCTAAATCATAAATGACCAGAGATTGCTTTATAGGTTGAATATGGAAAATAAGCTAGTGTTGTATACCATAAAATATATTGTTACTACTTTTTTTCAGGGGCTTAGGTATTTTGTATTGAGCAAAATAGTTGTTAGTGACTTAGTTCTGCCATATACCTGAAACTTAACCTGATAATTTGGCAAAGCCAACCTGCTATAGGTTAGTTGCACTCACCATCAAAATTAAAGCCTTTTCCCGGAAGGACCAAATACTGCTATTACAGTAGCCTTTAGGAAACTGTAGGATCTTTGTCAGATCAATTCTGTTGTAATCAGAAAATCTAAAATATGTAGAAGTAGATATTTTAGAAAATATATAGGTTCTATTTTCTCAGAATAAAAGAGGAGCAATAAAAAATAAAACTTTTTGAATATTTTCAGTAGGTCACATTTCACTTGTTAAAACAAGTTATTTATTTGCTTTGTAATTGAACTTTGACTTTTTGTTTTCTTTGTAGCTCTTCAACGGTTTTGTGCATAGCATTTGAGGTTCTTCAGGGCTTGCAGTATATGAACAAACATGGTATAGTACACAGGGCATTATCTCCTCATAATATCCTGTTGGACCGAAAGGTAATTGTTAAATCATGTAATAAATATTTGTATGTCATTTGAAATTGGAAGCAACTGGGATGAGGGCTACTTAATCAGAAGAACAATAGAATCAGAATATGTTTTAAGAATATTCATAATGAAAAGACTATATGAAAGTGATTGTGGTTTTTGAAAAAAGAATCCTTAAATTATTTAATCTGTATATCTTTCACATGGATTATTTTCCCCACAAGACTCATTTTCTAACTTTATGGTTTTTTTCATTTTACTCTTATTTCTAAAGCCTTGTGGCTTCCCAGTATACTCCTCCTCTTAATTTATTTTCGTTTTTAAGAAAATGGCTCTTTTTGCTAGAATGTTATTCATGTAAACCAGCTGCACTGTGTTTTCTCTGTTTTTCTTCTGCCTTCTTTCCTCTTCTATTTATCTCCTTATTTACCAGCTGTTCATACCTACCTCCTTTTACTATTGAAGTGCTGTTTCTCTACTGGAAATCTTATGGGCCATTAAGAAGAAGCTTGTAAACTCTTCAGAGAGAATTATGGTATCAAGGTTGTATATTTTCAGGAATAATTGTAATTTTATTCCTTCTCATAAAATATATAAAAATATATTGGAGGAAATTTTTTCATGGGCATTATTTACTGTATTAGTAGGATTATCCTTGTTCTCTGGTTCTTTTCCCAAATCAATACTTGGGAGGCTGAGATGAGAACATTACTTGAGCCCAGGAGTTTGAGGCTGCAGTGAGCTATGATCACACCACTGCACTCCAGCCTGGGTGACAGAGTGAGACCCTGTCTCTAAAAAACAAACACACAAACACAAACACAGAAAAGTGTACTCATTAATTTTAGATTTATGGCAGTAAAGAATCATTGCCATATCAATCTAAGCTGTTTTTAAATATAAATATTTTATAATGCTTGGAAATAATGTTTGTGAGAAGACAAACCAATTTTAAGATCAACTGAATATTTTAAAGTCTTATAGATTAAAAGGGAAAAAAACTTAAAAGATATGAAATTATATTTATCATTTATTAAGAGCCTTATACTTCTGATAGTTATTTTTGTTCTCAAACAATATAAAAAATCATTGGAAATCTAGCAGATTCACCAAAATCTTGATGAGTTTTGAACTGATATTTTCAAGTTAAGTTTTCCTATTTCACAGTTAAATTATAAATATAAATGGGCTTGCAACTCCATGGAGAAAAATTTGCTCTGTGAAACTTACCATAAACCATTCTAACCAAAGTTTCAAGACAGATGAGAACATTTTTGCCTCTTTGTTTTGTGAAATAACTAGACAGTGTAACAGCAAAAATATTAAAGAAACATGTCATTTGTCATTTTGAGATATATATGTGTACATATGCATATATACATATTTAATGAGTCTAAAGCAGACTATTGGCAGATCGTTTTTTATAAAATTGTGTTTTTTTAAAATCTTCTATAGTGGTATTTTGATAAAATATTGTTATATAACGGTTTCTTTAGGTATAAAATGTATAATAATTTTCCTTGCCCATTATAATAAAATATTTGATAGTGTTTTTTCTCTTTACTATTGTAGGGACATATTAAATTGGCTAAATTTGGACTTTATCACATGACAGCTCATGGTGATGATGTTGATTTCCCAATAGGGTAAGGATATGTTTTCCTCTATTTTGAGTTTCTTTTTAAATTTTGTAATCTTTGGTAACATGTATATTTTGTTAATTATATTTGATATTCCTTTTTGACATGAAAACAGCTTTTTAAAAATTAATGCATCTCAATTTTCCATATACTTTTAAAATGAGTAGACAATGAGTTTTTCCCAGCATCCTATAGATCCTTGATGTTGATCATTCATTGAATTGACAGAGAGGCTAGCAGTATTGACATCCTTTACATTATAATATTTCCTAATTATCTGTATGTCATTCAAATCAAATCAATTCAAGGCAAGAAGGATGACTAGATTCTCAATTAATGATAATGTGTGTGCATCAAGAGACTGAAAAACATCACTCACATTATTTTCAATTTAATGTTTTATGTTTAATTCCCTTTTCTCTAAGATATAATTATATATTAAGACTCAAGTTGAGTCATTGTGGATATTAGAGATAGAGATAAATTCCATACCTGAAAGTCTATGTTTAAGTTCAGGAAGGTTTATTTAATCACTTCTGTTATGGAATTGCAGATGTATGTTGCCCTCCACAAAAGAAATGGAAGGTCGTTTCGTGTATATTCAAGTAGATTTTTTTTTTTTTTCTTTTTGAGACGGAGTCTCACTCTGTCGCCCAGGCCAGAGTGCAGTGGCCAGATC